TCTACTGATTTTTAATGAAGATCTAATTAAATTTTAAATAACGGTTGAGCACCATTATCTAATTAATTGAGTGTGCTACTTGAGAACACCCTAAATGTCTTATAGCGCATAAAATAGAAACACAAGAAAAAAGATACTCTATTGGACAAATTCAGTTACACAAAATAATGTTATCGCCGGCATTATCAAGTCGGCCTAAATTATATTATAACTAGGGTTGTAAAATTACAGTAATTTTACGTAATTTGCGTAATTTTGTGTAAGTTTACGGTAAATTTGATTACTGAAAATTACGTAAAATTACATGTATTGTAAGATTGTAAAATGTAATTTTCAAGTAATTTTTCGTAATTTTATGTAGAATAGCGCTAGCCAAACTATCAGTACTTGGTATACTTTTTAAAAATTAAATTATAGCTCTAAATGTAGTAACAGTTGTCGATTGATAAATACCAGTCAAACTTTTGTTAGTATGATTTGTATGTTATATTTTTCTATTAGAAAGACTTTACGTATCATAACGATAATACGTGTAATCCATAATTTTTCTGGGGGTCCACATAACGATAACCATAATCATAATAATGATAATGACTAGTCTTCATTAATCCAGTAATCACATGAACTGGGGACTTTGCCTTGAAAATGACCATGTGTAAGGTCATTTTCAAGGCAAAGACCCCATATGATATATCAGCCACGTGAATATATGCCGCATTACATGTGTTGCTTTTGTTTAATTGGCGAACGGACTTGTTACACAATATAATGTTTATATAATTTCGGTAAAATGTTAGAATGTTCGTGGACATTTCTTCGACCAGGTTATTATTTGATCGATTATTACAGATCTCTTTCGATAGTTAATTGTTTCGAGCATTCAATTAAAGAGCACGATTTACATAGAATTATTATTTGTTATCTTTCTAGATGTCATCACCTGCAGATAAGCAACCCGAGGCATCCACCTCTGGCGACCAGACTTCAAATAATTCACAAAGGCAGAACGATGGTCAAGAGAATGTTCCACCACAGCAACCACAGCGGCAGTCGGCATTTCAAGTAATTACGCAAACGATATTTCACATTCTCCTTGTCTATTATATCATGAACTTTTTTTTTAAAGGTTTGATCATTTTTAGTTAATACTGTAATATGTCGTTATACTTTTTTAATTAACCTTGCTTAAATAGGTTCAACAGATATATCATCACCTCCGGCTATTAAGTTATCAAGTAATGGTGTATCACAAAATGAAAACGTTTATATAAAACAATTGTTCCCTTCATGGCCCTTGGAATCGAGTATGGTAGATGACTTTATTATTATTTAGCAAAAATTTTTTATAAAATCATACCTTTAAAAAAAAATTCCAATTTAATTTTAAGGATTTACGAGTATACATTTCTGAAGATGAGACCTTTACAAAGTTTAACGATCCTTCTGTTCCCAAATGGCACACTTCAAATATTCTTTTCGGTGATTGGGAAGATGAAAGAGAAGTGTCATTTGAAATTCCAACATCAGAGGTATTGCATAATCTTTTTAAAAGTAGAAAGATTCTTCAAATTGCTTCATCCTTAGATCATCCAAATTTTATAGGCTGTGAGGCACAATGGTTCGTTGTACGCACACATGTTTCTCACTCTTGGAAAAGCATCTCCAGATCCACTAACTCCAGGATTTCAGGATAATATGCGGGTTTATTCACGAAAATGTACATGACATAACATTATCATTTCTATTTATTATTATTATTACTACTAATTATAATTTTATAATTTAAACAGTATTAACAAGGTATTATCCAAAGCGAAAGACTGTAAAGACAAAAAATCTTATTCGCGGTTCCAATGACGATGAAAACGAAGTTGACGAAATTAATGAAGTAACATGTGAATTCTTATATTCTTTGTTTATATATTGATTCTTCATTAATATATATATATTTATATATATATGCATATTTCAGACAAAATTTGATGAAAAGGTTCCTATTGTATCATACTGGTCTAGAAACCTGACACTTAATATCGTATCTGATAACGCTATTATTCCCTACGCTAAATTACCACCTTCAATTGCTTCAAGTAAATTATTAATTTTGTGTACTCAATTATTTGAAGAAAGTAGTTTAATAATATAATTTTTTGATTATTAATTTTTATTTTTCCAGCTATACCAATGGACATGAGTAGGTTACCAGATTCGGCTACAAATTCTGGCTGGTATCTTCCTATTATCTTCGTCAATGACTTCTGGATTCTTAGAGATCATTTAACACCTATCAATGAAACTGTCAAGTACGTTAATAAATATCTATATTAGGATCTTTATTAGTAAAGCCTTATATGTTAATGTTTTAAGGTTATTTTACTAGAAAAGATTTCATGTGTCTAGTTTTTATTCTGTATCAAGATTGACTTGATTATAAATATGTAGGACTTTACCGATAAATATTAAGTATTATCCTTTATCATTCATGAAATTTCAATTATATATGCAAATGGACGAATCATTCCGAAAGCAGGCGCAAATGATTGGAGGAGATGCACATTCTGAATTTGATGAAATTAAGAGGATGCTTAGAGAAACAAATCCTATATTACTTTCTGTCACTTTTATTGTATCTTTATTGCACAGCGTATTTGAATTCTTGGCTTTCAAAAATGGTTTGTCTTTAATTTATGAGCTCCAAATGACAAATAATAATACATTTTATTAGTATTATCTTTAATGATTTTTGAATATTTAGATATCTCACATTGGAGAAAGAAGGATGAAATGACTGGCGTTTCTGTTAGATCTATTTTACTGAACATTTTTTTCCAAGTGGTTATTCTATTATATTTACTTGATAATAATGCGGACACAAGCTGGATGATTTTAATCGGACAGGGAATTTCGGTAGCCATAGAAGCATGGAAGATAAAAAAGGCCGTTGGTATTGAGGTGAGACTTTGTTAGCGTCTATAATGTTCTTATAAATTTTATTCATAATATCACATTATTTCACATTTAAAATCTTTGAAACTGATTAGATAAAATCGTCTCAAGGAACAGGTTACTTGCCGTACACTATAGAGTTTGTTGACAGACACAAACTAAGTGAGTCTGAAGAAAAGACGAAAGAGTATGATCGACTCGCATTTCGATATTTATCACGAGTAGCATATCCTTTACTCTTTTGCTACGCAATTTACAGCCTTTTATACAATTCGCACAAAAGTTGGTATTCATTTATTCTGACCACTCTTGTTGGATTTGTGTATGCCTTCGGATTCATAATGATGACGCCACAATTATTTATCAACTATAAACTTAAGAGTGTAAGAATACCACGTCATTTTCACAATATTCTCTTTTAATATTCACTTTTAATCTTGCTTATGCGATATTTTTTTCAGGTTGCACATATGCCTTGGAAAACTTTGATGTACAAAACGCTTAGTACGTTTGTAGATGACCTTTTTGCTTTTTGCATAAAAATGCCAACGTTACATCGTTTAGCTTGTTTAAGAGACGATGTGATATTCTTTGTCTATCTTTATCAAAGATGGATTTACCCTACGGACAATAAAAGAGCAAATGAATATGGGCAGGTGGATGAGTCAAATGAAAATGAAAAAGATGAACAAATGGAGAGTAAAAAAGATAGGTAGTTTAAACAAACTTATGTAGATATGTTTTTAGATTACATACAACATGTAGGTATTATTCGATCATATCTAGTGTGATGTTATTTGAACGCTGTCTAATGTAAGAAATAATAATAATTGCACTAATATTAATTATTTACATTTAATAATAAATAAAAATAAATATCTTAAAATTTTAATGATCATATTAAAACAGGACGATACAAATCTTTACATTTTTTTTTTTGAAAAAATTTTTTACTTTCAATTTATCAATTTCAAATACATCACACCTTTAAGAAAAAAAAAACAAAAAAAAACTATCATAAAATTAAATACATTTCATCATCTTCAAACATTGCATCACTCAACTTTCTGGTGTTCAATAAAGCTTGTGTAGAAGTTGAAATGGTAGTTGTATGATTAGAGGTGGTATTATTCTTCAATGTTGAAATTGATCGAGATGAAATTGTTGTAATATTTGGTGAGCCAATTTCAGTTATTGTGCATTCCGCACATTTACAGCATACACAATGATAGTCTATCGGGTTTAAAAAAAATTTCTATGAAAAACATTAAAAATGAAAAAAAACTTTGAATAATTGATAAAATCATTCACCTTCGACTTTATCAACTTCTAATTAAAAAAAGCCAAATCATGATAAGAATTCCTAAAACGATGATAGTGATAAGTTAGAGTATTAAACATTCAAAACCTACCGTCCAAATCCGCTTTACCATCATCCGAATTCTTTATATATACCCATCCGTCGATTTCTTCAGGCCAATCTATATTTGATTTCTGTTGAGAAATAATTTGAGATTGATTCACGAGAGAATTTTTACTTTGTTTAATATGACAAGGTCGATTCGTAGTTGAAGTACTATTTTGTGGATTATCATTATGCTGAATAGGATAAAATTGAGTAGTAAGTGAGTTATGATCTTGTTGAATGGAATTATAATCATATTGATTTGTATATGAATTATTTGTTTGCTGGATAAATGAACAATGCTGACTCTTGGATAGATTTGTTTGTATATTGTCACTATTATTATTATTATTATTTATATTATTTTGTTTAGTAAATGAATGTGACCTTTGTTGAAGGTCATGATTTTTTTGGACATGAGAAAATGGCATAATTTGTGAATATGTTGCTTTCATTTTTGAAACGGACGTATACTTGAGAGGTGGTGACGATAGTAACCTAGGAGTAGTTGTCGAATTTGTTTCATTTGCGACTTCTGAAAATTTTTTCAGTGCATTTTTGTAATATTTTTCGTAATTTGCATCTTTTGACATTTTTGATGTTTAATGAGAAAGAGAAAGAAAAAGCCAAACATTATAGATGAATTTAAATGAAATAATTTTTTTACTTGAGTAAAGTTTAATTTGATGTCATATAAAAACAAGTTTGAACTATTAATCACTAATACGTCAATATGATTGATTACTGATTTTTTATACGATCCAAAGTTCACTCGATAATTATAGATTCGTTTTTATAACTTTTCATATAAGTTCTGTAAACTCAAAGTATAAAATGTTTTCTTAATTACAATTTATTTCATAATTAATAAGAGATTTTTATCGAATCGGTTTAACTGTTAAGCTTCTTCGACTCAACTCCAGACTTGCTATCCTACAGTAAGATATTAGTTTAAATTTTAAAAGAATATGTACTGTATGTACCGTAAATCATATGACGAATATAAATATAAATGAGATCAAATGACCCTCCGAGGTTATGTTGATTATGTGAATAAATGTTAAATTTGTCTACCATCTAGTTATCTAATTTGAACGAGCTTTTTTTATTTTATGGATCTAAATAAGCTCTACAAAATAAAAAAAAGAGCATTCGAATTGGATAACTAGATGGCCAGTAAATTTAATTTCTATTCACAAAATCAACATAGCCTCGGAGGATCATTTTCCTAGCAAAGATCCTAAATAAATTTTATTATTTGTAACTATATACTATTATACTAGAAATAGATCTTTTAGAAGGGTAGGGATCCCAGAGACACATAAGATACTTAAAGCTTCGTTTGTCGTATTTTAAAACGGTTGTTACATTTTTTTTAAAATATAAGTTTATTGTCTATGGTGATAACTTTGATTTGGTTTGCTGAGTTATAGATGTAAAATTAGCCAATCACATGAATGTTTTACCAAAGATCACTATAAATTTTTTAAATCTAGCTGACGTTTTTTTTTTCACTCTCGTTTAATATCCATCCACATAGGTAAAATATAAAAGTTCATTCGTCAAATTATAAACCGTTTATTTTCTGGTCAATTGATCTAATTCTTTCGAAAATACAGTCACTCGAAACAAAATGAGAGCGAAGTGGAAGAAAAAGAGAACTAGACGTCTCAAGCGTAAAAGAAGAAAGATGCGTGCTCGCTCTAAGGTACAAGTTTGTGCACCTTTGAAAATTTTTTAGGTGTGTTAGCACACCATGATATTAAAAGAACGAATAACTTATATATTTTATACTTCCATTACAGTAAATTTTCTTAGCGACAGCATAGTTGTCCTGTCTAAACTCTTTTTTTATTATCACAATTTTAACCATTGAAAAATAAAATAAAATGAATCATTTTTATATTCATCTTTATATTCATATAACGTAACGAAATAAAAAATTAACCAATTTTTCTATATTTTTATTAAGTGTGATAGAAACCAACTCTATTACATAACACATTAAATTGTCATCATATATAAAAAGTGATTAAATCACACAATAAATAATGGTCATGAATTCTTTTTAGTTTCAGTCAAAGGTTTCAAACTTCGAGCCAATGTTTCATAGAAAACCTTTTTGTCGCTTAGATTATAGGAAGGATTTTGTCCAATCAATAATTGTATTGATTCGAATTGATTCGCTACTTTATCTTTCTCGCTTATGTCCCAAACGGATGCAGGAACAGATAAATAACGATCATAATCACCACCTTTCAGCTCTAACCTTAATGCAGCAGCTTCTTCTTCCTTACTCTCTAAGGAAGTAGGTTGTGAAGCAGTAAAATTTGACCAATTAATGTCTTCTACAATGAATTCCTTTGCTTGAATTTGGTTCAAATTATCTATATGTTTATGTTGTTTCTTTTTTGAAGCTGTTGACAACACATTAGGTTTAACCCGTGTAGTTCCTGTCTGTCGCTGTTGCGTATCTCTAGAATTATTTCTTGACTTTTGTCTTTGATAGTCTATACCATAACCTGGTGGACGACGGTAACTAGATTCTCGACCTAATTCCCTTTCACCATCACCATATATTAATTTTTCAGACAAAGTGTGCAACGCTTTACGTTCTTCTTCAGCGTCATCAAACTGACCAGGCTGAGGACTTAAATTTTTTGAATTTTTTGGTAAAATATCACGACCTTGTTTAATCCATAGTTTTTCACCAAATGTAAAAGTTTTTCCACCAAGCGAAATTGGACCAGAACCACCGCGTCCAAGACCAGGTAAAGAAGTTGAAAAGTTGGAAGTTCGAACAAAAGCAGGAGTGCGTATAGTAGTTTGATGTAAAGGACGAAACATTTTTTTTAATCAATGCAAATTGATTTGATTGATCGATCATATCTGTCTCGTGATCTATATCTACCTAGAGACAGTCGATAAATTTCGATTATATTTCATTATTTTGCAACATTCCATTTTTATATAATTTTGTAAAAAAAAAAAAAGTTGAATCTGATTCTAGAAATTCACAAGGTATTCGCCAAAAGCAAAAGATACCAAGTTGCAAGAAATTTCTTTTCGTCGCATAGTCAGTCTTTACTTATTTGTGCCGGTAATACAAACCCTTAAAAAAGGACAAAATTGAAGATACTGTTAATAAATTTTAAAGTTTTTTAAAGCTTTTAGCGATGATTTCCCTGATTAAAAAAAAGTTCATTGAATTGATTTTGTAGTTGAGAAATCATCACGAAAAGTTTTAAAAAAAACTTAAAATATCGGAAAAAAAGAATTTCTTTGAATTTTAAACAGCGATTTCTCGACAACAAGCTATCCAAATTTGATGAAAATTTTTTTATTACTTATGTGAATTAAATAAAAAATTTTTGATCGAGCTGGTTGTCAAGAAATATTCAGACTGCAGCTTCTCTTTTCAAAGACATCAAAACTTTGAACGAAGATTACTCGGCACTTACCTAGTAGAGATGAGCACCATGCACATGAATGCATGCATGTATGCATGCGTGCATGCGCATGATTTATACAATTTTATAATACAAGATTAATATAACTATCTCTTTTACAGATTAAATATTTTTTTTAAGATATCTTAGCAACTACAAAGCTAAATTTGATAAACTTTTTTTTATTTGAATTTTATGAATTCATAGAATTCAAATAAAAAAGATTTATTAAAATTGACTTAGTAGTTGCAAAGATATCTTTATTTAAAGTTTTAAAAAAAATTTAAAATGTCTATTAAAATAAGCTATACAAAATTTTCTCTAAGCTTTGAGCAATGATATCTCAGTATTAACAAGGTCAAATTCAATGAACTTTTTTTTATTTAAATTCTATGAATACATAGAATTCAAAAAAAAAAGATTCATAGAATTTGACTAAGTAGTTGCTAATATATCTTTATTTAAAGTTTTAAAAAATTTTCAAAACACCAAAAGCTATGCCAAAATTCTTTTTAAACTTTGAGAGAAGATATTCTGGCAACATAAAGCCAAATTTAATAAATTTTTTTATTTTAATTCTATGAATTGATAGAATTTAAATAAAAAGTTTATTAAATTTGGCATTATAGTTGCCAGAATATCTTCTCTCAAAAGTTAAAAAGAATTTTGACACAGCTTTTATTTTGATATGTTTTAAAATTTTTTAAAATTGAGTAAAGATATTTTAGCAACTACTTAGTCAAATTTGATTATTTTTTTATTTAAATTCATTACTCAAAGTTTAGAGAAAATTCTGTATAGTTTATTTTGATAGATGTTTTAATTTTTTTTAAAATCTTAATTAAAGATATTTTAGCAACTACTAAGTCAATTTTAATAAATCTTTTTTTAGTCAAATTTTATGAATTCATAAAATTCAAATAAAAAAAAAACTTTGTAAAGCCTATTTTGTAAATGATTTAAAATTTTTTTAAAAACTTTAAGCAAAGATATTTCAGCAACTACTAAACTAAACTTGATGAACTTTTTTTATTTGAATTCTATGAATAT